CGATGCTTCCTCAAGATTAAGTTCAGGTTATACTTCCTTGGCAGGAATAGCCTGGAAATGACGCTGCATTCTTCTCAGTAGACCGCATCAGGGGACATAGCGTGTCAATTTGTCCCATAGCTGGTGATGACTATATCCCTTAAGATAATTATTATTTTGTACTTAATTTATATTTGATAAACAACTTTAAAGTATTTGATTAATTTTAAAATAATCAAAAACTATTTTAATCTATGTAAATATTCTGTTTCTTATCAAGCCTTCACCGCTATTTTAGCATTCATTGATTTTTTTTTGAGGTTGAGTTTTGCTCTTGTCACCCAGGCTGGATTGCAGTGGCACAATCTTTGCTCATTGCAACCTCTGCTCCCTGGGTTCAAGTGATTCTCCTACCTCTGCCTCCTGAGTAGCTGGGATTACAAGCACGCACTACCATGCCCAGCTAACTTTTGTATTTTTAGTAGCGATTGGCCATGCTGGTCTCAAACTCCTGACCTCAGGTGATCCACCCACCTTGGCCTCCCGAAATGCTGGGATTACAGGCATGAGACACTCATTGATAATTCTTATTTAAAGCAGTTATTACTATGATGGCCTCCAAGCAGTGATTTCCTAATTTCTTAATTCCTTTTGCATGTATTAATTGGTATTCTTTTGTGAGGTAGTTTTCCTTCTCCTCTACTTACTTATTCATTCATAGGTATGTTTATAACAGTATGGACTCAGGGGTGCCTATTTTATTCAATAGGCTATATTACATTAATTATTTGATACTCAAATTATTCCATATTTTGCCAGTGGGAGCAACTTTATTAATAAATTGGCTTCTGTATTCTTTTAGTATGTCCATGATTCTTTAAGTATTTCCTTATTTTCTGGTGTCCCAAGATGTTCCAGACCCATCTTACACTTTCCTTGCCCCTGCCCTGGCATCAGCCATTTCTCCAGTAAGATCTAGCTTATTATTATTTTTTTGAAATGGAATTTTACTATTGTTGCCCAGGCTGGAGTGCAATGATGCGATCTCAGCTCACTGCAACCTCCACCTCCCAGGTTCAAGCGATTCTCCTGCCTCAGCCTCCTCAGTAGCTGGGATTTCAGGCTGGTCTCAAACTCCTGACCTCGAGATCCGCCCACCTCAGCCTCCCAACATGCTGGGATTATAGGTGCAGGCCACCACACCCGGCCTGCCCTGGCTTATTTTATTAGGGGATGGAATTGAGAAACCAAGATCTGAGTTGATGATGTGTTCATTGCTTCTGGGATGGCATTGCTTTTAGGTGCCCTAAGTGAAGATGAAATACATGTACACACATGTACATATACAGCCATCTGTCTCTATTTGTATATCATTCATTATATACATATTTTAAAAGATGAGATTTTACAGTGATATCTCTAATTTCTCTCCAACTCCATCTAGATTAGTCTAGCCTTCCTCCTTTACTTATTTGTAGATCCTTTTTCCACAAGTGAGAAACCTGGCTCCCACAATCTTTAGATTTTTTTTTCCCCTAACCCCCTGTAAACAACCAATCTTCCAGCCATTCAGAAGCCACCGCCTCTTCTTTCTCCCCTTCTGCACATGGCTCATGCCCTACTGAGTATCTCCACACTCTTCCTGGGGCCACACCAGGCTGAGCAAACCCTGTTACTGACCCATAACAGCAGACTAGTTAGACTCTTCCAGACTAGACTAGCACACTAGAGCAGTTACTTCTATACCTGCTACCCAATCAGGAGAAATGATTGGCATTTCAGAACGTGGCCAGCTTTGTGTCAAAAGGAAGATTAAATAAATCACATAATATAGTGTGTTAGCTCCAGTAGGGAAGATAATTTAGTCTTGTAATAGAAGCAGCCACTTAAAAGGAAAAAGAAATTTATTCTAGAAGCACTGGTCTCAAAAAAAAAAAAAAAAAAATGCTAACAGTTTAATAGCTAACATTTTATCATTTTTGCCTTATTATTTAGAATCACTTGAGAGTACATTACAAATGTGACACCCATTACTTTGTGTCAATGTGTGTTTCCTAAAACACAAGGACACGCTGCTGAAAAATCAAAGTACA